TGTTTATCCAAGAAGACTGTCAGCTCACAGTGGGCAAAGGCCATAACTTAAAATTATTTTCCATTCATAGTGTTTTTAGTCTATATTAGGCATATAAGAGGGGCTTGGTAAATTTTTGATTATTGGTTGACTCTTTTTTAAAAAAATGTTTAACTTTTGTAAAAACTGTTTCAAGGAGGGTACTCAAATGCCACACTTTTGTGACTTGCTATCCTTACCAAAATGAAATGTGGGTGGTGGGTTCCCTCTGAAGGCTGATAACAATGCCTTTAATCTAATCTTGCAAGGTGTGTAAATCACAAACCCCACTTGCTGACTCTCTGCCCCTGTCTGTCATGCTTTACCACAATGGTGAACAACAGCTTTGAATTATGCTAAATGTCAACCTTGCTGCCCATTAGTTGATTGCTTTCCATTCTGTAAATACAGAAGTTATGCAGAATTGATTGTATCAAAGTGATATATTTCAGGTTGCAGTATAATATCTTATGTACCTCGAATGCCTTGAAATTTCTATAAACACAGGTTTTGTAATTGTATGTGGTTTCTTAAAATCTTGGCTCTTTTTCCATCTATCTCTTTTTTCATTTCTCCTAATACCATCGTATATTCTTAAACCCTATCTGGTTAGGCAGCTCAGCCAAAATTCTAATACTCATTAATCAGTGAGAGTATTAAATACCCTAGTAAAACATCAATCATGTTGTATTAGCCAATGGAACTTTACTTTTTGTTGCAAGATATAAGTGTTTCCTTTTTAAGTGTATCACTTCCACACATCAGACTGAAATATGCAGAGGTTATTGATCCATAAAGTTTCCACTCATTTCAAGTTTTCAGCTTCATGTTGTTCCCATGTTTAGGTTCAGTCCACTGTGGATCACTAATTGACCACCTGTGTCCTGCAGTGACAGTTTAAGATCTGGACCAATCCTAATTTAAAAAATGTTTTTCTACCCCATAGTCTCTTGCCCAAAGCCTCCTAAATCTGATAAACAACTTCAGCAAAGTTTCAGGATACAATATCACTGTACAGAAATCAGTAACATTTCTTTACGCCAGTAACATCCAAGCTGAGAACCAAGTTAGGAACTCAGTCTCATTCACAATAACCACAAAAAGAACAAGATAACAGGAATACAGCTAACCAGGGAAGTGAAAGATATCTACAATGAGAATTATAAAACACTGCTGATAGAAATCAGAGATGATGCAAATAGAAAAACATACCATCCTCATGGATAGGAAGAATCAATAGTGTTAAAATGGCCATACTGCCCAAAGCAATTTGTAGATTCAATGCTATTTCTGTGACTTTTTTCACAGAATTAGAAAACAACTATTCTAAAATTTTTCTAAATTTTAAGGAAATTTTTAGAAAATTTTTTTGGAACCAAAAAAGAGCCCAAATAGCCAAAGCAGTCCTAAGCAAAAAGAACAAAGCCAGAGTATCACACTACCCAACTTCAAACTATACTACAAGCCTATAGTAACCAAAACAGCATGGTACTGGTACAAAAATAGACACATAGATCAATGGAACAGGTTAGAGAACCTAGAAATAAAGGTGCACATCTACAATCATCTGCTGTTTAACAAAGCTGACAATAACAAGCAATGGGGAATGGAATTCCTATTTGGAAAATGTTGCTGGGAAAACTGGTTACCCATATGCAGAAGATTGAAACTGGACCCCTTCCTTTCACCATATACAAAAATCAACTCAACATGGATTAAAGACTTAAATGTAAAACCTAAAACTATAAAAACCCTAGAAGAAAACCTAGGAACTACCATTGTGGATATTGGCCTTGGCAAAGATTTCATGATGAAGATTCCAAAAGCAATTGCAACAAAAACAAAAATTGACAAGTGGCACTTAATTAAACTAGAGCTTTTGCACAGCAAAAGAAACTATCAACAGAGTAAACGGGCAACCTACAGACTGAAAGAAAATATTTGTAAACTATGCATCTGACAAAGATCTAATATCCAGAATCTAGAAATAACTTAAAACAGCAAGAAAAAACAGACAGCCCCTTTAAAAAATGGGCAACGGACACGCACAGACACTTCTCAAAAGAAGACATATATGCGGCCAACCACTATATGAAAAAATGCTTAATATCACTGATCGTTAGAGAAATGCAAATCAAAACTACAGTGGGATACCATCTCATACTAGTCACAATGACCATTATTAAAAAGTTAAAAAATAACAGATGCTGGGGAGATTGTGGAGAAAAGGAAATACTTAGTACTGCTGGTGGGAATGTAAATTAGTTCAGTCACTGTGGAAAGCATTTTGGAGATTTCTCAAAGAACTTAAAACAGAACTACCATTCAACCCAGCAGTCCCATTACTTTGTATATGCCCAGAGGAATATAAGTTGTTTTACCATAAAGATGCATGTGTATGTTCATCACAGTACTTTTTCCAATAGCAAAGACATGGAACCAACCTCATGCCCATCAACAGTGGATTAGATGAAGAAAATGTGGTACATAGACACCACGGAATACTATCCAGTCAGAAAAAAGAATGAAATCACATTCTTTGCAGCAACCTGAATGGAGCCAGAGGCCATTACCCTAAGCAAATTAAAGCAGAAACAGAAAACCAAATACCACATGTTCTCACTAATAAGTGGGAGCTAAACATTGAGTACACATGGACACAAAGAAGAGAAGAATATACGCTGAGACCTACTTGAGGGTAGAGGGTAGGAGGGTGGGGATGAGAAAACTACCTGTCAGGCACTATGCTTATTATGTGGGTGACAAAATAATCTGTACATTAGACTCCTGTGACACACAATTTACCCATGTAACAAACCTGCATACATACCCCCTGAACCCAAAATGTTGGAAAGAATAAATACATACATAAATACATAAATAAAATAAAAATTTTAAACTAGCTATTTTCCTAATTATATAGGATTTTTCCCTTCCCTTTTTTGATTACATTAAATTGATGCTCTTAAACTGGTGTTTCAAAATTATGTTTGTAGAGATGATGCATTTTTATTTACTGAGGTTACCCAAAGTTTTAGGAAGTCTACTTTAAAAAATTATTTACTTGGTACCTTTATTGAGAAGGAGTTTCAAGAGAAACACACTGAAAGATAGGTAATTTTTAATGTATTGAACAAATATTTATTTTATACCTACTATGAGCCAGGCATTTTACGGTTGAGCTGATAACCATGGTAAACTCTGTGGTAGGCCTCATAGAGTTTCCATTCTAACTTAGGAGCCAGGTGTTTTGTTCATTGCTTGGGCTATAAAAGATAAGTTTTGAGCTTCAGATAGAAGTTTAGAGTATTTTGGGGAATGTCAATCAGATGAAAACAACAGTACAATGCTATAATTAGTATAAAAACAGAAGGTTTTTTTGAAGCAGCCTTTCTTCTGCATAGTAGATTCATTGACCCTCTCATTTAACTTCCTGGAATTCCACATAGCAATGACTCTTCTTCCTAAAAAGACAGGGTGTCTAGAATAGAGGGACTTTCAGGAGGAAAATCAAGAAAAGTAACAAAGGAACTGTATGCTGGGCAGTTGTGCTGACCTATTTCTTCCAAGATTAGGTTTTCATTATTTCAACTCAGTGATTTTTATTCATTTTAGACTTATGTGATGACCAAAGACTTGGATTTTTTTTTTCTCACCTTATTTTCTAGTAAAGTTTTTCTTGAAAACTTCCAGGAGCCAGCAGAAGTGGTTTCCCGGTCCTGCTCCAGCCTATCTCTGTGTTGACATCTCTTTCTTTGTCTCTGTCTGTAATTATGAATCCAGGTATCACTACTTACATATCTTATAAGCTTCTACTATGTATGATGTTTTCATTTACTTAAATTGCATATTTTTCCTTTTATGCTTCTAATGGGATGACAGAACTCATTGAAGTATAAGAGGTCAGTGTTAATACTTTGAATGAAATAAATTCTTTACATTAATAAAAAAAAACTGTATGAACAGTCTGAATTTTTAAGCGCTTGAATTTTTATGAAGATCTTATCCTGGAGTGTGTGTGCCCCAGAGCATGGCCCTTTTGCAAAGATTAGAAAGAAAAACTACGCATGCCAAAGAGAATTCCCAGTCTGAGAAGAAGCTGTGAGATTCTTGATATGTGCATTCTTTTCAGAATTGAAAGCATAGTGTTTTGAAGCATTTATCTTCTTTGGTATTTCAGATTGACCGCGATATGGATGTCAATGCTGAAGAAGATGATGATGGGGAATTAGCACTGTGGTCCCCTGAAGTCAAGATTGTTGAACTAGTAAAAGATTGTAAAGGTTTGGGATTCAGCATTTTGGATTACCAGGTATAAGAACCTATGTAGAGGTGTTTTCTTTGGAGTGATTGGTTTGTATTAATGTTATGTGAAGTAGTAATTGTTTAAGACCCCTATTGACTTAAGCAAAACTGAATCCCAAAGATGGGATATTGTACTACTTTCAATTGTTATCTTTAAAATTAGTAGCTCCCTTAGTGAATAAAATGATGGATTAATTATATAGGAACTGGACAATAAGGGAAGCAATAGTTATGTATCTGTGGGTGCTTTTAGAGACAGGATCTTGATGAACTTGTTTATATGGAGGACTTTTGTTCTTCAGCTTTATTCAGATATCTTTCACATACCATAAAATTCACCCATTTTAAGCATACAGTTCAGTCGTTTTTAGTATATTCTCAGAGTTGTGCAACCATCACCACACTCTAATTTTAGAACATCTTCAACACCCAAAAAAGGAATCCCATACACATTAGCATTTGTTCCCAATTCGTACTCTCCTCTCCCTCCCCTTCACACGAAGGTTTATAGTTTAGCTTACCTATTAATTTCAATGTGCTTAAATAAATAGAAATGTTCTTGGTCAAGTTATATATTGCATTTATATTAATATATAATATCTATGTATTTATATATTTATAGCTACTCCAGTTATAACTAGGGTAAAGTTACTGATACATTTGGGGGAGGGAGATGTAAAAGGTCACAACAAGACATCTATATGTTATACAATTCTACCAGTTACTGTCGTATATTCAGAATGCTGATTATTTGGGGGAATTAAAATTGTTGCCAAGAAATCTCTTAACTTTTAAGATGCATATTTTACTGCTTTGGTGCTGCCTAAACACATTGTGGTTTAGTAAAGCAAAATGTGCTCTATTAAAGCACATAAAATGCCAAGTGATATTAAAAAATCAATTATTTAATATAATAAGGCAATCAGGAATAGATTAAAAGAAAAATAGTTTGAGCATTATATGAGAAATATTAAATTCTTTTTTTTTTTTTTTTTTGAGACAGAGTCTTACTCTGTCGCCCAGGCTGGAGTGCAGTAGCACGATCTCGGCTCCCTGTAACCTCCATCTCCCTGGTTCAAGTGATTCTCCTGCCTTAGTCTCTTGAATAGCTGGGACTGCAGGCATCCACCACTACACCCGGCTAATTTTTGTATTTTTAGTAGAGATGGGATTTCACCATGTTGGCCAAGGCTGGTCTTGCACTCCTGACCTCAAGTGATCAGCCTTCCTCGGCCTCCCAAAGCGCTGAGATTACAGGCATGAGCCACTGTGCCCGGTCTAGATTCTATATTTTGGCAGTGTGATTTAAATTTACTGAAAAAGAAATCTATTTCATTTTTGCTGGCATAGTTCTGTGCCAGATAACCCTCTTCCTTTTTAGAATTTCTCTTTGGAATACTACTGAATGATAAGTTGTTGATTCCAAATATTTTGAGAAATATATTTATCAAGAGATCTGAACACAGTTAAGCGTTTGAAAGTCTATTAATATTATAGACTTTAATATTAGGGTATGTAAAACAAGTGGCGGGGACTCTTTTTTTTCCTCCCCATTGTAGCTAAGTTATCTAGAACTACTAGGTGGTTAATAAATATTTGCAGAATGATTTAATAAAGTTTAGGTGAGCCAAAATTAGGCCTGACCTTTTTTTTTTTTTTTTTTTTCTGTTTTGAGACAGAGTCTGACTCTGTCGCCAGACTGGAGTGCAGTGGCATGATCTCGGCTCACTGCAACCTGTGCCTCCCAGGTTCAAGAGATTCTCCTGTCTCAGCCTCCTGAGTAGCTGGGACTACAGGCACGTACCACCATGTCCTCCTAACTTTTCTATTTTTCTTAGAGATGGGGTTTCACCATTTTGGCCAGGCTAGTCTTGAATTCCTGACCTCAAGTGATTCCTCTGCCTCAGCCTCCTAACGTGCTGGGATTACAGGCGTGAGCTACTGTGCCCAACCTAGGTTAGCCAAAATTAACTGGAATTGAATGAACACATTTAATGGGAGTTTGTTAATAATTGATTTTGATAATTGGGATTTAATTTAGAAGACACCTTTCAGATGTGGTCTTAGATATTCAGGTATATTTCCATTTCTATTATTGTAGGAATCTCTATATGTTTGCATTCTTATATAATAAATATTTATATCATAATGGTTGCTCTGATGCTCTTAAATGACATTATATGTAGGTTTTATATTTTGAATATTGCACATACTAAGGCAGAGAAATGTTTCAGAACGCAAAAACAATTCAGTAAAGGATGAAAATAAAAACTAGATGGTCCTTAAGAATTTAATCCCTAGTTAACAGGAAAACCCCCTTCTGAGCTTTACACTTAAAAACATATATAGTTAGTTCTAAATGCAGAATTTTTTGTTCTTCATTGCGTTCCTACAGGTATGTTTAGTAACTTCTATTGCATTTTGAAATTTTATTTTTAATTTATAAAATTCTAGGATTTTCCTTTTCCTCTCATTTATCTCACAATCAGCAGCACACATACTGACATTTGCTTTTGTACAAATTATATAAAGTAATTTTCTGCCAACAAAGGATTAGATATTCTTTTTGTCTTTGTGCTTCTTGTAGAATATAACTACTTAATTTCCTAAATACCACTTTGATTCAAATTAAAGGGCTCATCTTATTTATTTCTACAGCTAAACCTTGGGGCAGGGGGAGGGGAACACTTTCAATCCTAACTTGGATGCTTTTCTTAAGTCAGTCTTAAGTTTACTTACAGATGTGTACAGCACATTTTTCACCATTTGTCAGTGGTACCTAGAACTGTTATCTACTATGACATTTAGATGACAGGTAAACACAATTCAAATTTGGTTTTGAGCAACTTAATTAATCAGTTATACCGTCCCTTGTTGTAATTAGGTAATAAATTCTAAAGTTCAAAAATATTTTTTGCAAGGCCAGTCAAAGGTTTAGCAAAAGCCATGAAAGGCCACATCCCTGGCTATTATTGCATTCGGCGTGTCCTGTATGAATTTATTAGGTAGCTGAGGAGGGCCAAGACAAATTCTTGTCCCGCCAGGCCTAGCATGTTCAGAACAAGAAGTACTGCAGAAACGTTTAACTACAGAGAGAAAGTATTGGTAGAGGGAGAGAACTTTTAGGTTGTAAAGGGCTTGCTTAGCATTATTGAAGAGATTGAAAATTTGCTTTGGAATATTTCATTTCAGTTAACCACTTTTCTCATGAACAGCCTTTTCTCTAGAATAAGAACTTTTTGAAGAGCCTAACAAAATAACATGCATCTATTTCATTGGTGTTTATGTACCTCCTCGTTTATAAAATGGAGATAGTAATGTCTAGCACAAAGGATTGTGTGGATTAAGTGAATTAGTGTGTAAGGAAATAGGAAATGTTATGTTATTATGGAAATGTATTAACAATTATTCAGTTTAGAAAATAAACACAAAAGTTTTTGATACTGTCCTCAAAGATGGCACCATACTATGTTTGTAGTCTATCAATTCTTTAACTCTCTAGTTAGATTAGAAAAATTAATAAGTAGATATCTTTGTTTAGTGAAGTCTAAATTTAATTTTAAAATTGCATTCTAAAATGCAGCCAATTCTTGATGAGCCATATGTGAATTACCCAATTGTGAATTATTGGCCAGAAGTTTGCTTTTTATATAAATTGAACTAAACTTTAGGAAAAGAGACCAGGTGCAGTGGCTGACACCTGTAATCCCAGCACTTTGGGAGGCCAAAGTGGGCAGATTGCTTGAGGTCAGGAGTTTGAGACCAGCCTGGCCAACATGGTGACACCCTGTCTGTACTAAAAAATATAAAAATTAGCCAGGCATGGTGGTGCACGCCTGTAATCCTAGCTACTCAGGAGGCTGAGGCAGTAGAATCCCTTGAGCCTGGAAGGCAGAGGTTATGGTGAGCTGAGATTGCACCTCTGCACTCCAGCCTGGGAGACAGCAAGACTGTCTTAAAAAAAAAAAAAAAAAAAGGGAAAGATGAGTGAGCAGATAAAGGAGCTTGAGTTAGTCTATAGAACAATAGGGTAGCTCTCCGGACAGGTCAGTGACTCAGAATATTGATGGAAGGTGTGTAACTGAGCAGAGAAAAGAGGTATGCCTTTATACCTGAAATGATCAGCTGAGTCTGATACACAGTTCTACAACTCAGTCATATGGCCAAAGTACAAAGTGCAAACATTCATTTCATGAAAGGCATTTTGAATTAGATTGGGTCAAAGGCAAAAGAGAAAGCAACAAGGAAGACAATAAATATGATTAGGTTGTAAGTCTTTTTCTTAGCTCTTAGGGTACTGTGGCAGTAACTTTGTTGGCTATTATTTGAACAGGGGTAGAACATCTGTTAGTCTCAAGTATACCTAGCCACTTCATATGGTGGCTAGTTAAAATCCCACTCTACGTGTGCCATATTAGAAGATTCACTGATCTCCATTGTCATGCCTTAGAGGTTTGTGTCATGGCAAACAATGGTATGTAATTTGTCAAGAGCATGAGTATTATGGCTTGACTGAGTACTCTGTTTCTAAACAACAAAACTTCAGAAATTAGGTTATAAGTTTTTATACTGTAATTTCTTGCCAGTTTGTAGGTGAGGTTTTTATATTATACTTTAGTTATCTCTGTCTTGTTTCCCTAGTATTTAAGTGTAATGTCTTCATTCCTTAGACTATTGTCTCTGTGGAATATTACTGATACTCACACTGGTTTTAATACCAATGTTAGGTAGCATTTATTGAGTGTTTACTGAGTGCCAGGTGATGTTCTAATTGCTTTACATATATTAGGCTATGTATTCCTTACATGAACCATATGAAAGAGATACTCTTATTGTTGTCATTTGAGAAGTGAAGAAATGGAGGCACAGAAAACTTAAGTGATTAGTGCAGTTCATACAGGTAGTATATGGTAGAACTGAAGCAGTTGGGCCCCAGGTCTTTTTTTTTTCTTTCTTTTTCTTCCGCCGCCTCCTCCTCCACCAGGTCTATGCCTTTAACCATCATAC